ACATATATTTTTGTATAACAGTTAAATCAAATAAACACAGAATTCGTTGAAATGACGACATCAATTTGTTGGTGGGGATGATCAGCAAAATTTTGGTTTGCTTTTGGCCATTTACATTCCTAATATAGATACATGCAAAATTTGACAACAATGTGTCCAGCAGTTTCGGAGATTACGTGTCTAATAAAAATGGACACAGACACCAGACAGACATGATACGTCGAGAGAAGTAAATATATCGGGTATGTACCAAGAGCTTCAACTTGTCAGCAAAGTATTACAAGACGAAAATGTAGAAAAAGACTTAAAAATCAAACCCACTGAAATGTCTAATTTTAAGTTTTCTCCTCTGACATCGTGTGATGTTGAGAAATCCTTCTCTAGGTATGAAAATGTCCTCATATACAAAAGGAAAAATTTTTCTGATGAAAATTGAGAAAAATATCTAATTTGCTATGCAAATTTTAACGAAGATTAGGACCGCTGAGTATGTAAAATACTTAATCAAATAAATGTACATCTCAAAGAAAACCAGACATTGTGTAAAATTGATTTTACATAAAATATGCCTAAAATCCGCATTTGTAACACCTATTTTGGCTTTTTTTTTTGGCCTAAAATCCGGGACGAGTTTTACTTTTGTGAAAATTGAAGGTTCAGTCCAAATTGTAGCTTCCTTCTATTAGATCAAATATCGAATGGTATTTAAACAAAAACGGGTAATGTTAAATTTTCAGTATGATAGTATCTGTGTTAACTAACAAATGAAAAATAAACAAAACTATCAATAATTTGGACTAAATATACAATTTTCGGAGAAGCAGAGTATTTAGTGTTTTTTGTTTTTTTAAATTTTCGGACTATTCTGGTCACATTTTCAGAGAAAACCCGGAGTTCCAGCTCCCGTGGCGTGAGACATAACATACGTAGAATTTTTATTATTTAGTAAGACTTAAAAAGTTAACTAGGTTTGACTTTGAATTAAATCCAAAAATGGTTAGTTTATGTAAAATGAAATTCTAATCGATTATGTCAAAACCTTTTAAGAAATCAGTATAGCCACATATTTCTGTCTTTCGTCATCAAGAGCATGAACAAAATGACTGTTGAAAATTTAACTATTGGATACCTTTGTGGTAGCGAATAATTTTACGACATGGGCACAAAAAGAGATACATGAAAAAATAGGCGGTGGTATAAAAATGAAAAGATGATGTCCCGGAACAACTTGATTACAAGTGTATACAGAGTAGTTGTTACAAGAAGTCTAATAAATGTTTAGTTCCCTCATTGCAGCATTCTACAAAAAATTGTTACTACCGTCCACGTTGGTAAATAGAACTCACAATATAGTTGACCAAAGCACATCCTAGTACTTCTTACACAATACTTTTTCTCTTCTTTTGCACATAACAGCAATAAACTTATATGCTTAGTTATATGCCTACGTTGAGAATAATGACAGCCTCCATCTAATTAGAGAGGAACGAATGAATTGGAAGTGAATTTGTTGTAGGTACCTAAGAACCGACAAGATTCTTGTTAATGGATCTGCGCACCTTTTTCACAGTCGGTTAATTTTTCAGTACCTAGAGTTGTTAAATACATTTTACACTGTACAAAGTACGTACAGTTGTATAAAAAACATATTGCTGTAGACTATTGGTTATATTATTCAAGCTTAATCACTGAAGAATTATTTTTTATTGAAGCTGAAGTTAAAAATTTCATTTCCTAGCGTTATTTGAACAGAACATTATATTTTAAACCTCAACGAAGATCCTTGTTTTTAATGACGACGATCATCGTTTTTGAACAACTTTTAATTCATTTTAATTATTACAGTTGAATATAGACTTAAAGTAGTATAGATATTTACAATTTTAGTGGAATGAAAAACTGAAGTGAGCTGCCACTATATAACAGATAGTGTAAAAAGAAAAATGATAAAAATTCGAAAATTTAAAAGTGTATTTAAACAGATAGCATAGAGACAGATTGGACACAGCGGAGTCACAATGTGAGTAATAAACAAGTGCAACAAAAACACGTGCTCTGATTCTGCCACAGCCTAATAAAATCCCCTAGTTTTTATTCAACCGAATCCGTGCAAAATATGCGCAGCCGAATAAAAATTTACGATTATCGCACCTTTCAGCATCTGTATAATTATGTAAAATCCGTCACATTTCCCAAACTGTTTTCCAGCATTCACTAACGGCGCGTATTTTCCATCGAATCAACTCGAAAAGAAAAATACGCACTAAAATTATGCAAAAATGGAAAACCGAGCACTGAACCGAGCGCTTATAACAATCCGTTATGATTATTTCGTGCTCGAGCGGCTAATTCACCTCTCATTATGCATATTTATTAACAATTCATTGACATTCATAACAATTACGTCGCATTAAAAAGATTATCTTTACGCATTAATTATTGTTATTGCATGCGGGGTGGCGATAGTGTGTGCGAAATGCTGAAACAAAACGAAAATCTGTTTATACGAACGTGCCATAAATGGCGAGTTCATCGACTGAGTACGTTTATTCAGGTTTTGTGAGGCCCTTTTCGCCGTTTTAATTATCAAATTCGCAATGTAATTAAAAAGGACGGCCGCAGAATTGTATGTATGATGAGCTCTCCTAATTGTTGGCGTGTTTTTAATATTCATAAAACGGCCAAAATTCCATCGTTGCGAGGGTTGGTTATTACGGGAGCAAAGGTCTCCGCTGACCAATAAAACAATATGCTGAATAATAATGGGAATGGGTATAATGCCAGGTACACGGACGGTAACGGCTTCATAACAAGGTGTTGACGATAATTACTATTATTACTACTGCTACAATTATTACTAGTAAAGCACTTTGTCGCACTTTACCGGAAAACGCAAACCTCGATTCGCCGCGAGAAACGAATAGCAATATGCGGAGTTACGGTTTGGACTGTAATTAAGCTTTCGTTATATTCATTCCCTTATATAATTTTACGAGATTTTTATGCGGTCTCGTAAAAAACAGAAGACAATAATTATTCTGAAATGAATATCTGGTCTGTAATTACCAGAACTTGGACCAATTAGCACAATTGCAGGAACGTCGACAGGAGCAGGGAGTACGGTACGGTTGTGTCTTACGAGTTTTAATTGGTTTGACATTGTTACCGATTTTCGCGTTTTTAAATTTAGAATTGTTAACTAACATTGATTAAGTAAGTATTTATTTTATTGTTAAAATTATCCAAATTTGCCATTATCAACGCAATCCAGTGGAAATTTGCTTAGAGGTTGTTCTTCAAAATATGTTAATTTGTTTCCATTTTTTAAATTTATTGCAACGAATTTTCAATGCCTGAAGATACATTATCGCATTGAAAGGTAACTTATTCTCAAAGGAAACATAAAAGAAATAATATTCCTAATTAGGTATGCAGATGTATAACTGGGAGCGTAAATGCGCCACTGATTGATGTACTAATCGTTGCTACCAACTCAATAGTTGTTCCATAACTGCGTGACACTGTTCTGCTGGTTCTCTACTTAATGTACTCTTCAGTCTAAATTTTGTTAATTGCTTTTCACTGTCTTCGTAAGAAAATTAAATCACATAAACTCGTTCATTTTTCAAAATGAAATCAAGGTCATTAATCAACTCCGAAGGAAAATTTTTAGCGAGTTTTGCTGCCAGATTTCGATTTATTAAAGAATGGTTAATTTGTATGTTTCTACTTAAATTTCAATGGCCTAAATGGAATGGAGCAAACATCGCAATAATTGGCCCCGGAAGTGAAATATACTTCTGTTTGCTTTCTTTGGTCGGTCCAGCGTATCACAAATCGGAAGTCTAAAAGCAGTGTTTATTAAATAGGATTTTAATAATAATATTCAGAACATTCTGTGTTTGTGATTTGTTAGAAATTGCTTCGAAGGATCAAAGTGATAACAGTGCGACCGTTTTGCTTGGGATTTATTCCAGAACTTGAAACTACAAAATTGTGTCTACCGGTACCGACTAAATGGGGTGGGTGGGACACACCCCCACCTCTCACAACCCCAGGTACCTGCTTAAAATGATTGGATATGGAAATTTCCAACATTCTGTTTAACTTTCGCTTAATTAATAATTTTAGTCCTCTGTTTTGAGACGACAAACTCAATGTAATCAAACAAGTTTGCACAAGATATTCTTACGATGTGCAAAAACACAACACTTGAAGCTAAAGCTTATTATTGTTGAGAGGCCATTCTGTCGTCTGTCCATGTCTGTGTCGACTGTGTCGAAATTTTTTATGTATATAGAAATGTTGCAATAATAAATGTAGTTTATGAATTTTACACTAGAGATCCAAATTGTTGTAAAAAAATTAATGCTCTGAAATCTTGTAAACGTGTTAAGGTTATCGTAAGCATCGTAAATCGTTTATCAAAATTCATCCGTTTTTTCCCTCCCAACAAAAGTAGGTATATGAAAATTTTACCGAACAAATTTAAAATATTTAGAGTCTATATTTGTAGTTTATCAATCCATTCATATTTTTTTGAATTGTTTATACATGGTGATTAAAAAAAATAAAGATTGAAGTGACAAGTTTCATTGCCCATCCCATTTTTCTGAAAACTTGAGGACAAGAATACAAAATTTTGTGATAACGTCTCCAACATTTTTTGCAAGTAGGTACTGTATATCAGTTTGCATAGATGCAGTGTAATACTAATAACAACAGCACTGTATTGCCAAATTTTCGGGAAAATAGAGTGAGTGGTTCTTAACTTAATCAATACACTCACTTTTCATTTTTTTTAATGATCCTGAATTCTAAAAACTATGCATCCATTGGTAAACTGTAAGAATGGAGTCATAATATTGTAAAGGGTTCGCGTTTCCGGGGTCGAATCACTTAACACGTACGGGTTCTTTTGTCGTTTTTAAACAAACTCACATTTAAATACTCAAGATGATTTTTATTCACAAGTCACGGTTCTCGATTTCTACCGCATTACAGTTCTATTATTAATATTGTTCTGTTGTGTTCTTACAATGAGTTTGGGGATATATATATATAACGGTTGCTATCAGTACAAATATTAGGGTCTAGTGTACTGGATCATCACATGATGTCCAAGGGTTGAAATCATCACATGATGTTCAAAAGTTTCCCATAATTACTAATTAGTTTAACAAAAGATAAATGCTAATGTGTATAGAACTACTATTAGAAATAATGTTGATGCAGTGTACATAACATTCCCTCCCCCCTTAGAGAAAGGTAACAAGCTCAATTAAAATGCGCTCGAAGATTTGCACCAAGTTGCACAAAATCACTTTGATTAACGCGCGCACTAGCACTAGCACTTGTTGATGACGGTTGTGGAACAACCATCATTGGTGTTGATGTAGTTGTAGTTGTAGCAGTTGCAGCTACTGGGGTTGGAGATGTTGCTGGAGCAGTCATCGGCTGATTTAAGACGTTTAAACACACGTCTCGACCTGCATTATTTTTGCGCATACACATTATGTATTTACAAAGAAAACTTCGTTTCTGATAACATTTTACAAAGATGTAGCAACAAATTATTACACAAATTAAGTACGTTATGATTTGTGTGAACCAAGAATGATGAATGAGGTGCGGAGATATTTGAGAACTAATAATTTCCTTATGTACAACATCTAAACGATGAGACAAAGAGTTGATTACATCGAGATTAACATTTTCAGTGTGAAATTCCTTAATAGGGTATCTGTCAATAGCATTTTTAATTCGTTGGGAAGTACAACATGTATCATTTAATAAACTTAAACTAGGTGAAAATGATTCACATTCGGAAATAAATGCTTTTGATGGTACAAGGGTTACCGATTTACTATACGCTTTACATGAATTATTATCTAATGAGAAAATTCCAATGCCTAATAACTTTATGTTTAGATTTCGTATATCATCATTACATACTATATTCAAAGTTTGTTCTTCTGATAACACAAATAACCATTTATTTAAATGCTGTAGCTTATACCAAGTGTTAATATTACCTCTAATGAGATGGATAATACAAGATTTTGGAATGGTTCTAGTGTTTAACATTAACTGAGTTTCGCACATGGGATGATTATGAGTTTGATAAAGAATGTTATTTTGTTTACAAATCCTAACATTACCGGTGATGATTTTGCAAAATTCTAGATCCGACATTACCAAATATTGTAACCTGTTATTCGACATCGCAATATATTTATTTTGCGGTTGGATAAAAACATAGGTTGTGTTACTGTCGTGGTCTTTGTCGTGTGGTACTGGCAAAGGGATTAAATGGTATATAGTAAAGGTGATATCCATAACTAATGGAACTGAAATAATATAGATTAATTCCGAATGGGAGTAAAATAGTTTTAATTCAGTAAGTTTTAGAAGATCGTGAGCATTTCCAGATATTAAGGGTAAAGGATATTTTTTTGAACTGGGGACATAAGAAAGTGTGCTCTTTAATTCTCTAAGAAATTGTTCAGGAGTGATAATAAATGGATGTACTTGATTCCTTTGAGCAAATAAGACAACGGATATTAAATTGTCAAAATCTTTATCAAGTGAATGCGTTAATTGTAATAACAACGTCATATGCTCTGTGACTAGTTGACTTACTTTAATGCCATCTGTAAAATTCTCAATAAAGTTTGTAAAATTATTAAAAACTGCAATATTTTCGTTTAGTTTTTGCTTATATCTCTCAAAGTTAGTGAAAGTTTTATTAAAAGTAGTGAGGCTTTCTTGAACAATTTGTGTTTGTTTTTCTAATAAATCTTTAATATGAGCATTGTTTGAAATAACTTTGTTTATTGCATCAGTATAATATTCAGCATCTGCATCGTCCATGGTACCAAATAATGTTTTAAGAACACTGCCGACGCCATTTATGATTCCCCGCTTTTTGCGAGATTTATGACCAATTAGCTCACTGAAAGATGAATATTTGACGTGAATATGGTTGATATCATGTTGAATAAGTGATAAGGATTGCTTACATAAAGTTTTTTCAAGATGAAAAGGAACGATTAAACATATGTTCTGGGTTGAATGGAACGTATTATTAACAAAATTAAATTTTTCTAAGACCGTGGAGACGTTGAAATGGACTACTAAATTCCAAGTTTCGGAGAAAAAGCTTGCCGGTCCTAAATTTTCAAAGAAAATCCCAGACGATGAATTGATGTTCAAGACCTGATAGGTTGCAATCACTGGTGTGATGCACCTGGAACAATAGAATCTTGATAGTGCTTGAGCCTATTTACATGGACATTATGATTTTTGTTTTTGATACGGATGGTGAAATTTGTAGGAGAGTTTTGTTTTATGATTTCATATGGACCTGTGTATTTGGATGTTAGTTTTTTTGATTTGTTGGGTTTTGATGCGTCATTGGAAAGTAAGACCTTGTCACCAAGATCATAAGAGATGTCCCTTGCTTTTCTGTCGTAATTCTGTTTCGATTTTACCTTAGAATCTACGAGATTGTCTCGAGCTATTTGATGACTTCTATTTAGTTTCAATTTAAGTTGGTCAACATATGAATCGTAGGTATATTTAAATTCGGGAGTTTGAGTTATTGACGATGGTAATTCAGGTTTATTTCCAAAGACGAGTTCATGAGGGGTATATTTAGTGGAAGTATGGACCGAAGTGTTGTAAGAAAACATGGCGAAATTTAACCATTGGTCCCAATCGGTCTGTTTATCGGAAACATAATGTTTGAGATAATCGGCTAGGGTTGCATGACTTCTCTCTAAGGCGCCATTTGTTTGGGGATGATAAGCGGATGTTTGTATTTGCTTAATACGGAAGAGACGTGCAACTTCTTTTAATAATAATGACGAAAAGTCTTGACCTCTATCAGTTAGTATTTGCTTTGGAATACCGAATTTACAAATGAAATGATTTACGAGTTTATTAGCAATAGTTGTTGCCTCATGATTTTTGATAGGAAAGGCTAAGGAATATTTCGTTAGATCATCCTGAAGGGTGAGAATATATTTTTTCCCTGTTTCGGTGATAGGTAATGGTCCCACAATGTCAAGAGCTATGCGCTCGAAAGGTAACGTTGACGTAGTTGTGATTTCCATTGGATGCCTACGAACTTTGCGTTCTGTCTTATTTCGTTGACATAAATCACATTGTTTAACATATCGTTTAATGTCATCTTTCATGTTTTTCCATTTATACTTGTATTTAATTTTACTTAATGTACGTTGATAACCGGGATGTCCTGCCGACGGATTATCATGATACTCTTTAAGAATAACAGGAATCTGGTCACGAGGTGGATCAACGATTTTATTGTGATAAATTTTTAGGACTGATTCGCGTTCTTCACTATTAAGATGACTCGTGTCAATAGCCTTGTTCAAAATCTCATTACGACTGATGTCAATATTAATTGCCTTATCGTTTTTTGGACAATCTATTAAGAATACATTATCTTGATCAAACTTTTCCTGTGTGAGATCTAATTTGTTTATTTGGACTGGTCTATCGTTCGTATTTAGAATGGTACTTAATGCTTTGTTATTCGCATTGACAGTTGTTATACTGTGGGATAGGTAAACACCATCTACGATTTCTACATTGGGTGTTATTCCTTCTTTGATTTCCGGATTTAGGACATTGAACTCGATAAGAGTTTCAGTACGTGGTTGGATAATGTATGATTGCGAATTTTCACATTCTGGATTTTGAGATATTTCTTGTGTTTCAGAACTTTTTATGTCGTTGGTTCGGAATTGTAATGGGATTCGTACATTGCGAAAAATCAAGGTATTAGATCCGTAATCGACAATAGCTTTTGCATTACATAGGAAATCATTGCCTAGAAGTCCGTCAAGGGGTATATTGGTTTCATGAGCAAGCACGTGAAATTTGTGTTCGTATTGTAAACGATCGAAATGTAAATTAAGAAAACTGTAACCAACACTCTGAACTGGATTTTTGTTTTTATTAATACCGTTTAATTTAAGAGTTTCATCGGTATAAAAAGGAGTTTCTCCATCAAGTGCGTTCGATTTGACTAAACTGATATTAGCTCCGCCGTCTAGCAACAGCTTTAGTGTACGTTTCCGCGATTCATCTGCAGGAATTTCGATAAACGCAGTTGTTTCGTTAATGTTTAAAATTGTTGCGTTGATGTTTTTTATTAGAGAAGGTGGTGCATTTCGGTTTGCTTGATTTCCGATTTGGCCAGAATTCGATTGAAAAGAATTTGGGGACGAAGAAGATTGTTGTGACGAGATGTTCGATTTTTTACTGTTATTGTAAGCACGTTTTCTGCATTCGTGGATTAAATGACCTTTCTTTTTACAGTAATTGCAAAATTTATTGGAGTTAGGGTTATGTGATCCATTTTGCGATGATGACGAAACCTGATTAACGAGCTCGGGTTTAGCCCTGGAATTAGATTTGTCGAAACTAGAAGAGTTATTAGAGTATTTGGAATTACGAAAACAGTTTGATGATGTATGACCGCTCTTATGACAGACGGTACAGAATGGTTTCGATTTAGAAGAATTTTCAGCCATAAACAACAATGTTTGCTCCTCGTGCAAAGCGACTTGATAAGCGTCTGGAAGAGTCGTTACGCCACGGGATCTTAATATTAGACTGATATCTGGTTTAACACCTATCAAAAATGTTTGTAGAGCAATTTGCTCGATTGTCGCAAATCTACCTTTAATTTCGGAATTGTCTTCTGCCATGCTGCGTGCAGCTTGTAAAAGACGAGTGGTGCAAGTTTCTAATCTTTGTATGTAATTAGCGATAGATTCCTTACTGAATTGTTTACATGATTGCAATTCTAACAAAAGATGTCCGTAATGTTTGTGATCGGAATACGAATTGATTAAAAATTCTTTTAATTGTCGCCAAGACGTGAGATTGTGATTATTTACTGCAAGTTCGGCTTTATCTCTTAATTGAGAACAAATATATGCATAGAGAATAGGACGTTGAACTGATGATGCTAAGTCATGTGCATTTTGACAATTTCTGATAAAGCTTTGTAATGATTCCCGATCTCCTGAATAGGGTGAAATAAATTTTAATAAAATTGATAAGGGAACTTCTTCTCTGACAGAAGGTGTTGTTGAAGTAAGATGTGTAGGGTTAAAACGATTGGAGTTGCTTGTATTAGCTTGATGCGGTAACGGAACAGAGTTTGTCGTTAGATTTCGATTTGGAAATAATGAGAACTGATCGACTTGTGATGTCGTAAAAAGGGTTTGCATTGGGACATTTGGTTGTGAGATAGGATTTTCTTGAGACGAGGACGACTGTTGGGAAATGGTAGAGGATTGGTTGTCAGTACTTTGTTGTCCTGTCAATTGTGTCCTTAGTTGTGATAAAGGTAAATTGTCTTCGTTAGTATCTTTCATGGTTAAGGATTTGGAACTTTTGACTCTTGTAAAAATTACTTTACAATCCGAAATTCGGTACGATTTTGTCGAATAATAGAGTTAGAATATTAGGTACTTACAAAATGAGAAAAAGAATCTTCATTCCTTCCTCCGATGTGGATCTCGATGAGAGCGACCTAAATGAACTGATAAAATGAAACCGCGTGTTATTTGCGTATAATTCACTTTCCGGATTAGCTTTTACTTTTAACACTGGTACTACACTATGTTCGCGACGGGTTGGATTTTTGTCGATCCTCCGTGTTGATTTTATTATTTTGCGCAATTTCTTACACAACGATTTTGTGCAGTATCCCGCTTCTGACACCAATTTGTAAAGGGTTCGCGTTTCCGGGGTCGAATCACTTAACACGTACGGGTTCTTTTGTCGTTTTTAAACAAACTCACATTTAAATACTCAAGATGATTTTTATTCACAAGTCACGGTTCTCGATTTCTACCGCATTACAGTTCTATTATTAATATTGTTCTGTTGTGTTCTTACAATGAGTTTGGGGATATATATATATAACGGTTGCTATCAGTACAAATATTAGGGTCTAGTGTACTGGATCATCACATGATGTCCAAGGGTTGAAATCATCACATGATGTTCAAAAGTTTCCCATAATTACTAATTAGTTTAACAAAAGATAAATGCTAATGTGTATAGAACTACTATTAGAAATAATGTTGATGCAGTGTACATAACAATATTTTAAAGCTAAAAGAAATTTTTCGGAAAAATTCGGGGGGTAATATCCTTAGTTGGAGATGATAATGACACAGTTTGAAAAATATAGAAAAGCACAACCTCAGTAAGCGAAATTTTTTTCGTGCGGGTTTCGCAATTGTCGCTTTCCTCTCTCCATTTCGTCGAGTGATTCCCTGCAGCCGCCCCCAGCATATCTTAGTTCCACACGATTGTTGTGTCTATGAGTTTATTTACATATATTGTTTCACAGCGACGTACGAAGTGGCGGATAAACAAATGAATCAATATGAAATGATTTTGGAAATTCTTCTGGAGATTTTTTTCTGCATTGATTGATATATCATACTAATAACAATAGAGAGCTATGAATTGTGGTAAAGTACACGGATAAGTGCAGTGTGATACATAATAACAGTTTTTTTGATGTAGAAAAAAATGTGTAACGCTGTAGGATTCGTACTCGGAACCTCCACTTGGAAAGCAAGTCTCTACATCCATAACGCTTAGTTTACAGAGTCGTGTATAATGTGGCAAAAGAGAAGGAAACATAAATAACCTAACTTATTATTTAGGGGGGATGAGCAAATACATTTTCATCAAAAATTTACCATGCTTATGAATCTTATGATAACTTTAAAACTTTTCCAAGATTTCAGAGCATTCGGTATTGCAGTTCCTGATTAAATCAATAAAATAAATTCATGCATTCATTAATTTTTTTGAGTCACTCTATATAAGCAAATGTAAAAAATATGAAAGGAATGATAAATCACAAGTTAAAACTCATCATATTTTGCACATTTCAGTTAGGATTTATTCCGTAAAATTTTGAGATGACGTAATTAATTTTTTGGAGGGGATAAGCAAATATATTTTGATTAAAAATTCATTATGCTTATCATAACCTTAAAACATTTGCAAGATATCAAAACATTCGGTTTGGCAGATTCAAAATTAAATTGCAAAATGTTGTTTTATAATTTTGATTTTTCCAAAAATCTGGACGTTTCGGGTAAAAACTCAACACGGAGTCATAAAGTACATGTGTAGAACTATGTTAAATGATACAATTTAAAACTCATTTACTATGTACATTTCTGAAGTGATGTCATCACATTATTATTGGTGGGGATGATTAGACAAATTTTGGTTAGCGTTTTACCATATGCTTGATATTCCTAATATAAATACAAAATCTGACAACAATCGGCCCAGTACTTTCGGAGATTATCTGTATAATAAAAATTGGGACGGCAGACAGACAGACGGAAACGGGGAACCTATTTCTTCGTACACTAGGGTTCATGAAAGGTCGAGAAAACGTAAAAGTATGCAGTCAGCCGACGGACTCGATTACAATACTTCCTTCATTTACGCTCGGGAAGTAAGAGGTAATTATAAAGAATCTTCATTGTTTATTTAAATTAGTTTTAAACAAATTTTGAAATCTGAGATATAATTTTATACATAACACGTGGGTTAACGTATTATTAACATACTCACGTAATTACACAGACAAGCTAATAATGATTTTATCTCCCTTGTATTATGTGGCACATGGCAATATTTGAATATTTAGTTGATGGTAGCTGGCGAATAATTGTGAATAACCAAAGTCATATTAGCTGAAATAAAATAAAAAGACGCAACATAAGTTGTTGACATTAATATGATTTAATTTATAGAGTAATTTACACTTGTGGTTGATTGCGTAAGGCTCGTTGCGAATATTATTACCTCATATTGTACAAGAATTTATGAGTGCCTACATCAAGTCCAATACAAAATACAACATATTTAAAATTAAAAAGTGTGGAATGGAAACAATCCGAGAAAATAAGCCCACGATGAATCACCGAAAGAAAACAAATACATATACTGATTAATAATAAATTCGATGTAATTTGAAAGAAGCATCAATTTGAAAACTAGAGAAAAACAGTCGGAAGTAATCTAATAAATAGTTGTCACAGAAGCTATTAACTTTACTGTGGCAATTTGCCAGAAGTGACCAAAATCTTCCAACACATTACGAGTTGTATCTTGATTAATTAACTCATTTCCGCTCTGATGTGGTTTCGAGTGTCTTTTAGTCATTTATTAAATTTTAGTATTTTGTAGACGTTCACTCTTATATACCTATACCGTGATCTTTATTGACTGCAAACGTGAACTGTTTCTACTTCCCGAGGGTAAGCGAAGAAAGTATTGTAATCGAGCCCGTCTGTCTGTCTGTCTGTCTGCCGTCTGTCCGGATTTTTTATAATGGTAAGTAAACAAGAGATCATATCTTGCACTAAACATATTAATAAATAATGAATAAGTCACCACAGAATTGTCGTGTTAAGTAAAATTTAAACTTTTGTACCTTTCTTGGTGGTCAAACTAAGTATTAAGAGGGATATAACGGACGAGCAACATAATTCGTATCGTAGTTGCCTGTGTTTTTGAAACGTATGTCGGTGCTTTTTAAATCAATGTCTCTTTAGCTGAAAGTTTGAACCAAACGTCAGACTTTGACAACGCACTGACTTTTTGCACAATTGTATCGATGAATCATAAACTTAAAATTTAGTTTTCAGAACCTCCTGCGATCACGAATTATGTTGCTCATACGCGAATGATGCAAAAAAAAGTCTGGTCGAACGAGATTGTGATCCGGTCTAGAATTAATAATGCCTATTGAAACGAAATAGGCTAAGTTATTTAACTGAATTAAATTTTGAAATTTAGTGTGGTTAATGGCAAAATGACAAATGGCTATAATAGTCTTGTATTTTGTTATTAAAGTGTCAGAAATAAATAATCTTTATTATAAACAAAATAAAATGTGAATCAACTAGGGTGATTTCAGATCGCTGGACAAACTGTCGTACCTGAATTTAAATAAATTGAAATAAATTAAAAAAATCAGAACTTAAGAGTCTGGTATCTGTACCTAAAGATTTATGGCGTCCTGGAATAGTTTTCCGCTGTAGTTTTTCCATCGATGAGTATGATTCACCAATTCATCACCTTCTCACTTGCTCAGTAAACATAAATTATTTTTTGAGTGAAAAAGTATTATTAGTTTTCTGTATAAACGGAGGACGCAGGATCTTTGCTGTTTCGGACAACGTATTTCCAAAAATGTTTAAAACGTAAAGAACTGACAGAATCTAGCATAACGAAAAAAAAAAGATTCACATGATTCAGCCATATGTAAAGGCAATACAATAATAATCACATAGGAGGTAGTTAATTACTTAATTGTTAATGTCATGTTTTGCAACAAAAAGTGTGGATTTTTGTTTTTTTTTAATTTTCAGGTACAATTGTCAGTTGTTTGAAATTGTATGTAATATACTCAACTGTTGTAAAATATCATACTTAAATTTTAAGTAGTACTTTCGAAAAAAAAATCAAAAATTATATGATTATATGTATTAGATCTACAGAGGAAGTGCGATGTAACAACATGGGTTATACAATAAACAAAGATAATTAAACGGTCAGAAGGCGTTTTAGAATGTGTTGTAATCAGACCGTTTTATTTATTTTGCAGTGTCCCGCAAAAGTCTAGAAAGTTTAGTTATTGTGCGTTTTCGTAACATATTTAATAGTTAACCCAACAATTTTAATTATTGTTAAATAAGTTTGAATCACCGTATATTTTGAAAAAAAAGTCAACATCCACAATATTTTGCTCAAAACGTTGTTTTCTTAAAATGTCACATTATTGTTAACCTATTTCTTTTTGTTTCATTTGTCTTAACATATAACCTTAAATTACACATTTTATTGGAATTAAAAAGATAATAGTCACGTTTAGTTTATGTATATTAAGTTGCATAATTTTGTCCACGCCCTTAAAAATCTATAACAATGTATTTTTTAAGCGAGAATGTTTGTTTAGAAATTAAAAGAAAAGATGTATTTCTGCAGTATTCCATATATGTAATTAGAAACTATTTCAATAATTTTCAATATTTCAAATAATTGAAATACTGTACTTGCGCATTACTTCAGGTACACATGGCTTGAAGTACTTAATACTTGGAGCGCTTTTGTTAAAGTAGTTAATAAAAAAGGTAAATATGGTAATTTACCTTCTTTACGTACTTCGAACAGCTTTGGAAAAAAAATGACAGTTGGAAGCCGACGTAACTGCGTTATAATAGCATAACTTACTTTATTATTTGTAATTCCTTAAACCAGATGGAAAATTTGCCTCCATAAATGGCGACTTTTAGTGTGTCAGCAGCTTTCGCCAACAAATGTCAACAATGCAGTAATTTAAAACATATTTGGTATGTATATAAATACCATTTTTCCCTTTTATTCGCCATATATACACGTTTTTATTTTTAATTAAAAATATAAAAGAAAACAAATTTTCCTCTGCACGTAACATTATTTATCCCCTTTTATTGCGCATTAACTCAGCGGAGTTATTAATTCCTGTCGGAAAAGGGTCACTCTAGACCTCCATAAATTCCCACCTGCCATAATATCAAACGCTTTCCATGTTCGCATATTTTGCATATTCTCAACATTACGGCCTTTGTGGGATTTCCGCGGGGCTAAACGTTTAAAAGTCCCTCCGAGCCTCACCTCGTCCTCTCTAACCCGGCAATTAGATCGCCATGGCGATAAATGCCACCCCATTCCGAACACCTTCAAGAATC